CAAAACCTAGATACACCTCATACTGTCAAACTTAGTTTATGTTTATTCTAATGAATTTAATGACTATGGAGTCAGTCTGGAGATTCCTCAGAAACCTGAATATAACCCTACCATACAACCCAGCCATCCCACTCTTTGGAATTTACCCAAAGGAAATGAAATTGGCAAACAAAAAAGCTGTCTGCACATTAATGTTTATTGCAGCTCAATTCACAATAGCTAAGACCTAGAACCAACCCAAATGCCCATCAACAGTAGACTGGATAAAGAAATTATGGGGCATTTACTCTATAGAATACTATACAGTAGTCAAAAACAATGAAACCCGGTCATTTGCAACAAGATGGAGGTATCTGGAAAACATCATGCTGAGTGAACTAAGCCAGTCCCAAAGGGACAAATATCATATGTTCTCCCTGATTGGTGACAACTAACTGAGCACCAAAGGGGAAACCTGTTGAAGTGAAATGAACACTATGAGAAATGGTGACTTGATCAGCCCTTGCCCTGACTGTTGATGAACAACTTAATACGTTATCCCTCTTAGTATTTTTTTTTTTGCTTATTTGTTCTACTTAATACTTTTGGTTGAATACTGTAATCAATACACAGTTATTCTCAAGTGTTGAAACTTAACTGAAAAGTAATCCCTGTTAAATATAAGAGTGGGAATAAGAGAGGGAAGAGATGTGCAATTCAGGACATGCTCAAGCTGACTTGCCCCAAACGGTAGAGTTAGAAACATACCAGGGGATTCCAATTCAATCCCATCAAGGTGGCATGTACCAATGCCATCTCACTAGTCCAAGTGATCAATTTCTGTTCTCAATTGATCATAGCGATAGGACTAAGAACCAAAGGGATCACATAAACAAGAATAGTGTCTGCAAATACTAGCTGATAGGATCAAAAAGGGAGAGAATGATCCAACATGGGTAGCGAGATACACGGCAGACTCATAGAATGGCAGATGTCCTAAACAGCACTCTGGCCTCAGAATCAGCCCTTAAGGCACACGAATCTGGCTGAAAAGCCCATGAGAGTATTTCAGGCATGGAAAGCCAAGACACTCTGTCAAAAAAATAAAATGACCTAAATGAAAGATCTCTGTGAGGGAGATCCCAGTGGAAAGAACAGGTCATCAAAGAAGGAGGTACCTTTCTCTGAAGGGAGGAGAGAACTTCCACTCTGACTACGACCTTGTCTAAATATGATCAGAGTCGGTGAACTCAAAAGGTTTCCATAGCCTTGGCGACTCATGACAAGAGCCTAGGGTGATTACTGATGCCATAAACAAGAGTGTCAATTTGTTAAGTCAACAACAGGAGTCACTGTGCACTTACTCCTCATGTTGGATCTCTGTCCTAAGTGTTTTGTACATTGTGATTTAATGATATAACTAGTACTCAAATAGTATTTTACACTTTGTTTTTCTGTGTGGGTGCAAACTGTTGAAAGCTTTACTTAATATATGCTAAACTGATCTGTATATAAAGACAATTGAAAATGAATCTTGATGTGAATGGAAGGGGAGAGGGAGCGGGAAAGGGGAGGTTTGCAGGTGGGATTGAAGTTAAGGCCGGGGGGAGCCATTGTAATCCATAAGCTGTACTTTGGAAATTTATATTCATTAAATAAAAGTTTAAAAAAAACTTTTTCAAAAAGCTTAACTCAGTATGATTAGGATTATCCATATTGAATTCTGCTGATCTCTTGCCTCAGGAAGTAACAAAGGAGTGTTAGAAAAGATCCCAGTTGAGACTAGGCAAGTTTCCCATACCAATTTATTTGATTTTCAATCTGTTCATTATAACTAGTGGATCTCAGTAGTGAAAGAATTACTGCAACAACTGTCTTTGGAACTCAGTTCGAACTCCTGCCCATCTCTGCTCATCTTCAACCCCCATAGAGCATTGGCAAGGTGTCAAAGAACTGGGAAAAGCATTCTAACCAAGAGTCCTTTATTTCTTTTGTCATTGCCAAACATTCTCCAAGTCTTACTCACCAGAAATTAACATAGCTTCTTCATCTCTCCTCCCTGACAACCCTCATCTGCTGAAAGGGCATTACCGGGTTAATTGCCAATGAAAATGTGGAGTGGATACGCCATTTCCTTCACTTGTTTCCAAGTTCCCTATGCTGGTAGTATCAAATGCAGGATTGGATGCTCCCTTGTTTAAAAACGGTCTTCACAGAAGCCCACATTTTAAAGATATTTGGAGGAGCAAAGAGAACAAAAAAGTGGAGCTAGACTTTCAGAATTTGGAAAGGTTGTACTCATCCGTATCAGGGTTAATTTTTTATATGACATATGCCACAAACAAGCAAGAATATTTACGTAAAAGGGGAAGAGAATCCAGAAACACAACAAAGCTGCTCTAACCAATGCTCCAGAGAAAGCAATTCAATTTTGTTGATTTCTTTTCTAATTTTTATTATTTATTTTCTAACATTAGTTTTGGGTTTGTTTCGCTGTTGTTTTTCTAGATCCTTGAGATGCATCAATAGTTCATTTATTTGCTGCCTTTCCACTTTCTTGCTGTAGGCATCTCTTGCTATAAACTTTCTTCTTAACATGGCTTTTACTGTATCCCGTAAGTTTTGAAAAGTTGTTTTGTCCTTTACTTCCAGAAAGTTTTGATTTCCCTTTTGATTTCTTCTATGACTCACTGTTCATTCAGGAGCATGCTGTTTAGTCTCCATGTGTTTGCATATGCTCTAGGGATTTCTGAATTCTGATTTCCAGCTTCATTTCATTGTGCTCCAAGAAGACGCATGGTATGATTTGGATTTATTTGAACTTTCTGAGACTTGCTTTATGGCCTAGTATGTGGTCAGTCCTAGAGGAAGCCATTTGCCGCTGAGAAGAATATGTATTCTTCAACTGAGGGATGGAAAGTTCCATAGATCTCTGTTAGGCCCATTTTGTCTACAGTGTCAATTAAATCTTCAGTTTTCTTGTTGATTTTTTTAACTTTGATTTAATGAATATCAATTTCAAAGTACAGCTTATGGATTACAATGGAGGAAGACCTTTCTCTCCGTCTCTGTCTCTCTCTCTCTCTCACTGTCTAACTCTGCCTGTCAAAAAAATATTTCATTTGTACTGAATTTTTATGATAAAATATTGAAAATATCCTTTGAAACTGAACAGCTGCTATGAAGGAACAACTGTACCTGAGTGTCAACAGCAGTTTTCATTCCTAAGACCTTATAACTCTCTGCAACCCAAATGTGTACAAAAGATTGATAGATAAGCTGACTGAGGAAGATCCATTCAAATATTGATCAGCAATAAAAAGAAACACACTACTGAAATGTGCATCAACACAAATCACGAAAATCAGTGACATTAGAGTGAACAAAAGAAGCCAAGCACGAAAGATCACATATGGAAAGATTTTATTTGTGTGAGATTCTAGAACAGGTAAAATTAGCCTGTGATGGAAATCAGAGCAGTGGTTGCCCGAGCCTGGAGGTATAGGTAACTTACTGTAAGCGGAGGGTGAGGAAAGTCTCTGGGGTTGTGTAAATGTTCCATATTTTCAACAGAATGATGGTTACACTTGTATCAAAACCTTCTGAACCATACAGTTAAGATGTATGCATTTTATTTTTTTTTAGATTTTTTTAATTTATTTGACAGGTAGAGTTACACAGACAGTGAGAGAGAGACAGAGAGCAAGGTCTTCCTTCCTTTGGTTCACTCTCCAAATGGCTGCAATGGCTGGAGCTGTGCCGATCCGAAGCCAGGAGCCAGGTGCTTCTTCCTGGTCTCCCATGCGGGTGCAGAGGCCCAAGCACTTGGGCCATCCTCCACTGCTATCCCAGGCCACAGCAGAGAGCTGGACTGGAAGAAGAGCAACTGGGACTAGAACCAGCGCCCATATGGGATGCTGGCACCGCAGGTGGAGGATTAACCTAGTATGCCATGGCTCTGGCCCCCAGATGTATGCATTTTCTACCATGTAAATCTCACTTTGTTGAAGCTTACAGTATTCAAAGGGCAACAGAATTAAATAAATCCTAAACCATGGATTCCTGAACTTGCCTGGTTGTATGAATCACTTGCCTCTTCTCCCAACAGACCCTGTGAGTGCAAATGCTTGATAAAGCCTGGTCCTGTATATCCTGTAAGTACAGCCTTCCCTCACCCTACTATGCCCACAATGACTTGCAAGTTCAAGGCAAGTCTGGGAAACAGGCGAAATGTGAGAAATGATAGAATTTACCTCAGAGTCTTGGCAGATTGTGTCTCAAAGACAATTGATACATTTAGTTTGCTTGGATTTAAATGGTCTCTTTCTCTAAAGTCTCACTGGTAATTAGAGAGGAAGAGGTGGGTGGCAAATCATAACCAGACAGCCAGATTCTGTGGCCAAGGGTGAAGTCACTGTGGCGTTGTCTTGAATTATAAATGTTTGCCTCGGTCCATTATTGTCAAGCAATCACCCTATTTCCAGGATATATTTCAACTTGGGCTTTGCATATCAAAACAAATCAGGGCATTTCTCATCCCAAATAGCCAGAATGTGCATTTCCAAAGCAAGAGTCCCAAAGTAAATGCAAATACACTGGTGGACGTTGGGTGTGGCTATGGTAGCCAAATGTTAGCACTAGGAAAGCAGCTATGAGAGTGAATGGTAGGCTGGGTGACAGACCCATGAGACAGTTCATTTAAAATGTCATTTTAAAAGTCCGCATTTTTAATGTCTTAAAGACAAGACTCAACTCTGATCCAGAAATAACTGTAGCTGTCATTTTTAATTGAACAAGGAAATGATAATCTCATTTTCCTGCCCTCTTTTCATGTAAATATTATTTATGTTTCCATAGATCCATAGCCTATAGGCATCCAGGTTCCCTCTGGAGTCTGGAAGGTTGAATATGAGGTCAACCGCATCAGGGATTGAAGGACAAATTGAATTCACTGGTCTAGCAAGTCAATATAACTTAGCCCCTTCAAAATCTCCTTTCCTCAGTTTCTCATTTTGACTTACCAGTGGCTAAGAAAACAGAAGTCACTAGAAGTTATGAGTTCTCTCCAAAGAAGGTATGTGTACCCCTCTGATCCATTTCAGTAGGGTGGAGGTGCAGAAAGAGATTTAAATACTCTGAAATTTGGGCCACAATCCAAGTTCTCCTTGTTGCTGGCTTACAGATGAACTATTTGAGAGGTTGGTAGATTCAGCCTGAGAAAACCATCAAAAAAAAAAATCACACCATGAAATGCAAATGATATTCAAAAGGCTATCTGTGAAGTCAGCTGAGATTTTTGTTTTACTATTTTTTAATTATGAGAATCCTGAAAATTTTTAGAAACTATGTTAGTAGTTTTTAAAAGATTCAATGTTTTTGTAGATACAATTCTTGTGTGTTTTTTTTGTTTTTGTTTTTGTTTTTTGTTTTTTTTTTTTTTGTTTTTACAGGCAGAGTGGACAGTGAGAGAAAGAGAGACAGATAGAAAGGTCTTCCTTTGCCGTTGGTTCACCCTCCAATGGCTGCCACGGCCAGCATGCTGCGGCTGGCACACCGATGGCAGGAGCCAGGTACTTATCCTGGTCTCCCATGCGGGTGCAGGGCCCAAGCACTTGGGCCATCCTCCACTGCACTCCCTGGCCACAGCAGAGAGCTGGCCTGGAAGAGGGGCAACCAGGACAGAATCTGGCGCCCCGACCGGGACTAGAACCCGGTGTGCTGGCGCCGCAAGGCGGAGGATTAGCCTAGTGAGCCGCGGCGCCGGCTTGTAGATACAATTCTAAGACCATTATTACATTCCCTTTGTTGCTCCCTCAGCTCTCTCCCACCCTCCTTCCTTGTCCTTTTCTTTTTCATTTTTGGTTTCTGAGATAACATATTTTAAATTTTCATTACAGTAAGAATCCTTAAGATTTTGCCAATAATCGAAAATGAATCTTGATGTGAATGGAAGGGGAGAGGGAGTGGGAAAGGGGAGGGTTGTGGGTGGGAGGGACAGTATGGGGGGGAAGCCATAGTAATCCATTATTCGTACTTTGGAAACGTATATTCATTAAATAAAAGTTAAAAAAAAAAATCACATTTATAACTGATTAAAAAAAAAAAAAAGATTTTGCCAAATAAGAAGTTTAACAATAAAAAGCAAAAACACCCTCATAATATAGACAAGGGTCATAACAATAAATCTGTTGAATTTCTCATGTATTTGTAGCATTGATTGATACATCAAGAGTCTATAATACAATAATTTGCAAGCCTCACTTACTGCTAAATGTTTTTAAAAATACATATTCTGAGCTCCACCCTAATTCAGTGGTCTGTGATAAGAGCCAGGAATATGTAGTAAGAACACTGACAAAATTATAACTGGCATTCAGTCTGATAAAGACAAAAGTTCAACAGAGTAGGAAACCAGGGGGAAAAAAAACAGATGCATCTTTAGGGCATAATACCTGATATGAAACTAAAATATGTAACTAAGTATACAACCATTTGCAACTTTGATATAGACAATGGGCTTTCTTTTCCATATATGTCTATTGATGGAACAGTAAAGTCATCTTTCTTGTGTGTTAACATCCACAAGGCAGGGCACACAATTTCTGGTTTCAGTTTCTTTGAACTAAAGCAAAGACTTAGAGATATTTAGAAAGGGGCCGGAGCTGTGGTGTAAAGGATAAAGCCACCACCTGCAGTACCAGCATCCCATATGGGAGCCGGTTCAAGACCCGGCTGCTCCACTTCTGATCAAACGCCCTGCTATGACCTGGGAAAGCAGTGGAGGATGGCCCAAGTCCTTGAGCCCCTGCACCTACGTGGGTGACCCAAAGGAAGCTCCTGGCTCCTGACTTCAGATCGGCACAGTTCCAGCCTTTGCAGCCAACTGCGGAGTGAAGCAGCAGATGGAAGACCTCTCTCTCCATTTCTCTCTCTCTCTGCCTTTCCTTCTCTCTCTGTGTAACTGTGACTTTCAAGTAAAATAAATAAATCTTTAAAAAAGATATTAATAAAGGAACTAGAGTCTACATAGCTATTAGAGTTTTAAAATTTCTTAATCACTTACAGTTGCTATGTCCACGTACAATAAGCAAACAGAACCACTATCTTCACACTCAAGATTTTATCCATTTGCATTGTAGCATTAGCAGGTTTAGGAACAAACACAGCAGACATCTGGTAAGCATATATATGTCAAGCATAATGTATAGAAATGTTTTTGGAAAACTAGAGAGTGGGCTACCAGCCAGAACTATCTTTTATCGAAATTTGTGGCATTGTCTTGAATTATAAATAAGTTTGCCTAGGTCCATTCTTGTAAAGCAATGCTAAAGGGAAAAGTTTGGTAAAACAGAGAGTTGTATGAATAATTAATAATAATATAATTAATAATCATTAATAGACTTTCTATAATATTTCTTAACAGTCCACCACCCGAAGGTGTTTAGGATGATTGTCTAGAAAACATTACCAGCTGTATTTTGAGTGTGCTTCCTACTGTTCCTGTGTTGAAACCATGTTCTTTAGTGTTGGGATGTTAATAGATGAGATCTTTAAGAAGCAGAGCCTAGTGGGAGATCACAAGACTAGACTTTCCAAGTGTTCTATCTTCTTGTCTCACCATTAATCTGTCTTTCATTCACCATGATGCCATATGTCATGAGTTCATCACCAGCACCAAGTCAATGCTGCTTCTATGACATTGAGCTTCCAGAACTGTGATCTAAATAAACCTCATTTCTTTAAAAAGTTACCCAGCTTCAGGTATTTCAGTATTATAATAGTAAGTGCACTAATATGTTAACCTAAACCAGGGTTTCTCTAACATGAATGAGCATACAAACCCCCTGACTGCCCTGTTAAAATGTAGATTTTCTTTTGGGTAATCTGGGGTGGGATGCAAAAATTTGTATTTCTAAGAAGCTCCTGGATTTTTGGCAATTGGAGTGAAAAAGGGCAAAATGATCTCTTTATCAAATTTCATGTTCTTTTTAGTTATAACAGCACAATTATGATTGAAAATGGATTTTCTACACTTTAATATTTTTAATTAAGTAACTTCTATTCTTTTGAATGCTAGAGGTTAATAACAAATCTTGCCCAATAATAAAGAAGATATGCTTTGTTTCCTGTATTTGATGAATAAATTTTATGTTTAGTAGAAAGAAGTTTAAGGGAGACATAACAGGACATATTCTCATTTTCTGTTGCTGTCAACATTACCGATTCCCTTTAACTGTCAAAACAGTGAAACAGAAATGGAATTGTTTGTTCTTGTTAACTTTTGGCTTATAGGGAAGGGAGCTCTTTTTATAGAATAGTTCATCAAGATACCTTCTCTCTCTTCTAATGCCTACTGTACAGTTTGAGTTGAGCCAATGAATGTAGCTAATAGAAAGCCAAAATAAGTGATTTCTTGGCAGCAAATGGCTCCTGGATGAATCACCATAGGAAAAATGGCAGTGGAGTTTGACAGTGGGATGAGGAAGAAAGTAGAACCAGTTCTAACAAGTTTTCTCTTGCTGTAGGTGGCTTATTTCATTTATCAACACATCACACAAGACATTTTTAGTCAGAGTTCCATTTCCTCCCATTTGTGCGGCTCCTACCACGCTTGCCACCTTATCAAACCCATGTTTGGCAACCCACAGCGTTACTCCCGCAGCAGCATCTAAACCAGAGTCGTGATGTGCTTGTGAGTGGACAAGATTGTGCAGACCAGAATCAATATAAAAGGGGCATTTGCTCCCAAATGGCCTGAGAGAAAGCAGGTCTGAATCTGTGTGCCAGGCAGGGAAGGCTGGGTCTCTGTAGAGGTTAGGAATAGAGCCCTCAATTGTCAGAGTTCACCTAACTATGCAGAGCAGTAGAAAGTAGCTGGGCCCTCCACCTTAAGCAAGAACACTCAATAACTACTTCTGCCTTACAGGATATAATTCACTACTGAAAATCCATAGCCAAGATTCTAAACTCTTATTAAGTGGCAAAGGGACACATAGCAGTTCTTTTGGTCTATTGTCCTTCAAAACTGTGGCAAGCTTTTTAGAGAATAGAAGAAACTGAACAAGAAAACCACTGAATAAATGAGCTGCCACTAGCTAAGCCTGGTGTGGCAGTTATGCTGACAGTCTTCTGTGTCTTACAAATACCTTCCCATGAGAACACTGAAGGCTTTCATATCAACAGATGAAGCTGCCGCTCCTGAATCAGCAGGATCCATCTAAAACTCACTTCAGGGGCTGGCGCTGTGGCATAGTAGGCTAAGCCTCCGCCTGTGGCGCTGGCATCACATATGGGCACTGGTTTGTGTCCTGGCTGCTCCTCTTTCAATCCAGCTCGCTGCTTGCGGCCTGGAAAATCAACAGAAGATGGCCCAAGTGCTTGGGCCCCTGTACTCACATGGGAGACCTGGAAGGAGCTCTTGGCTTCTGGTTTTGGATCAACCCAATTCTGGCCAGCAGATGGAAGATCTTTCTCACTCTCTATGTCTGTAATCATAAATAAACATATATTTTAAAAAAAATCTATTTCACTGTCATAGGTCAGAAAAGTTTGTTTTTGATCCTGACTTTGTAATTACAGGAACATTATTCAAATTGTTTAGTGGACAGAGACATCTGAGAATATGATGGAAACTGTGGACCATTTTCCCAGGACACAAAATCAAACTTTTGAGTACAACTTCAAACCGTTCATAGGTGGCCTAATTTTCTTTTCCTCTACATTTGTAACCAAGTCAAAAATTTTTATTCTAATGCAATAGAATATTCTATGAGCCCTTCAAAAGACAGGCATGCACCAAGCACTGTATATCAGGCTCCGTGTGAGAAGTTCACCACCTTCTGTACCTTGCAGAAAACTGCTGTGAGCCTCCCACTCCAGGAAAACGCTGGGGCGGTAACAGGAATCACCTACTGTGAAGTTCTGATAGCCACCAGCTTCCTGTGCCAGAGCCAAGGGAGCAGACTTCAGTAGGCTAAGATCATTCATTTGGTGCCAAAAACAGTGCCGGTGTAATTGTTCAGCATTTCCATGTTCGGGAACTCCTCCCCAGTGATTGACTGCCCCACGTCACTGCCATTCTGAATCATGCAAATGAGGATGTCATATCCTCTGACTCAGTAGCCTTTATTTCATTGAAAATTGTTTTAAGAACTGCAAGCAGATAGTTGGTCTTCGCAAATGCATCACTTTTCCTTTTCTCAAACAGCCCCAGCTGTTGGGGAGGAAGATCAGAATGTGTTCACAGGGTATCTTTGGGATCCGAACTTGCAAAGCACATGCATTTGCATGCAGGGAAGGGCTCCTCCTTGATGGAGGCTACGTGCCACAGTGTTTGCCAAATCTGGTGCAGCAGCAAATAGCACATTTCCATGTATGTACATTTCTCCCTATGGTTCCCAAGGAAAGGGCGAGTCAGGATATGCACACACATCATGCAGGCTTAAAATAGCTTATGGAGCTGGGCATCTACTAAGTGAAGTTCCTTGGCTTTGTTTATTGTGAGTACCAGCTTCTAGTCTGCACTTGTGAGGTATCCAACTAGACTAACACTCTGTGTACTCTTGTCATCTGTATGCCCACGGTTATGAAAACAGACATCTGAAATTGCATTTGAGTCCCAAGGAGTATTGCAAGACTTAGTTGTGTAAACTTAAGTGGATTACTGAATCTCTGAACCTCTATTGACACTTACATAAAATGAAATGATACTAGTGCATAGCTCACAGAGTTATGAGGAATAAATTAATTTAATATATGTAAAGCCCCTACATTAATACCTGGCATACGTTTAGTACTTATGGTGATAGTGTGTTATTATTAAATCTGTAATCCAAAATCATTCCTTTAACATTTCTCATCATGTATCTCTCTTGGTTTATAAGACAAGACAATATAAGATGAATTTTGGAATATTCACAGTGGAAAATGCTCTAGAAGTTAAAAATCAGCCAATTTCAAAAAAAATATTCTCTTAGCTGAGTAACCTTTGGGATAAATATTCTCACCATCATGGAAATTTAATGGCACTTAAAGCAGGTGAAACACTTGGCCCACAAAATTTCAATATGCAATTGATGTTAGTTTCCATGAATTACTAAAAATTAGCATGAGTGATTCCTTACAAGGTAAAGAGGCAGCCAACACAATGGGAGAAAATATTTGTAGCATGCAACTAATAAAGGATTAATATTCAGGATCTATAAAGAGCTCAAGAAATTCAACAATAATAAAACAAACAATCCAGTTAAGAAATGGGCAAAGGACATGAACAGCCATGGCTCAAAGAATGAAATACAAATGGCCTATAGACACATGAAAGAATACTTGGGATCACTAGCCATCAAGGAAATGCACAGGGTTAATCTTATGTGTATAAAGTTAATTAAAAAGAGATCTTTGCAAAAAATGGGAATGAAATAGGAGAGGGGGGAGTAAGAAGAGTGGGAGTGTGGGCAGGAGGGAAGTTAGGGTGGGAAGAATCACTATGCTCCAAAATTTGTATGTGTGACATGTATGAAGTTTGTATGCCTTAAATAAAAGTTTTCCAGCTTAAAAATAAATAAAACTAAAAAAATTAAAAAAGAAACAGCTCTAAAATCATACCAACACATAAACACACACACAAAAAGACCACAGTGGGTTTTCACCTCACCCAGTTAAAATGGCTATCATACAAAATCAAAGTAATAAATGATGGCAAGGAAGTTGGGAAAAAGCTAATTTAAGATGCTGTTGATGGGAATGTAAAATCGTGCAACCACTATGGAAGACATTGTTCAGATTCATTAGAAATCTGAAAATAGATATACCTATATATGACCCAGCCATCCCACTCCTGGGAATTTATCCAAAGGAAATGAGATAAGCATATGAAAAAGCTGTCTGGCAAAAAATGACCTAAATGAAAGATCTCTGTGAGTGAGATCCCAGTGGAAAGAACAGGCCATCAAAGAAGGAGGTACTTTTCTCTGAAGGGAGGAGAGTACTTCCACCTTGATTATGGCCTAAATAAGGTTTCAGTTTGTGAATTCAAGCGGTTTCCATAGCCTTGGCAGTTCATAACAAGAGCCTCAGGTCATTACTGACGTCATAAATAAGAGTGTCAATTCTAAAACCAACAACAGGAGTCACTATGCACTTGCTCCCCATGTAGGATCTCTGTCCTTAATGTGTTACTATGAGAATTAACAGTAAAACTAGTATTCAAACAGTACTTTATACTTTGTGTGTCTATGTGGGTGCAAACTGTTGAAATCTTTACTTAGTATATACTGTTTATCTTCTGTATATAAAGATAATTAAAAATGAATCTTAATGAAGAGTGGGATAGGAAAGGGAGTAGGAGATGGTATGGTTTTCAGGTGAGAGGGAAGTTATGGGGGGAAAAACTGCTATAATTCAAAAGTTGTACTTTTGAAATTTATATTTATTCAAGTTTTCTAAAAAAAAATAAAAATCCTTATATCACCAAAAAAAAAAAAAAACCAGAAAAAGTTGTCTGTATCCCCATGTTTATTGCAGCTCAATTCACAATAGATAAGATATGGAATCATCCCAGATGTCCAACAATTCATGACTGCATAAAGAAATCATGGTATATATACAAATAGAATACTACTCAGTCATAGAAAAGAATGAAATCTTGTCTTTTGCAACAAGATGGAAATCACTTTATTTAGTGAAATAAGCCAGTCTCCAAAAGAAAAATATTATATGTTTGCTCTTATTTGTAGTAGTTAATATAGAACACAAAAAAATGTATAGGAATGAAATGAACATCTTATGATTTGATTGATGTTTTTAGCCCTTGTTTATACTTCTGTGGAACTGTGGTCTTTATGTTTTATTTGTTGAATATTATGGTTAGTGGTATATTAACCCTATGATTATAGAGTAAACTGAAATTATGATTTTGCAAAAATTATGAAAAAAAAAAAAAAACAGAGGGGCCGGTGTTGTGACATAGTTGGTTAATCCTCCACCTGCTGTGCCGGGATCTCGTAGGTCACCAGTTTGCTTCCCTAGTGCTCCTATTCCAATCCAGTTCTCTGCTTAAGGCATGAGAAAGCAGTGGAAGATGGGCCAAGTGCTCGGACCCCTGCACATGTCGGGGAGACCGGGAAGAAGCTCCTGGCTCCCAGCTTCAGATCAGCCCAGCTCCAACTGTATGGCCATTTGGGGAGTAAACCCATGGATGGAAGACCTTTCTCTCTGGATCTCCCTCTCTCTGTCTGTAACTCTGCCCCTCAAATAAATAAATAAAATCTTTATTTTAAAAAAAAGAAGAAAAAAGCAGAAAAGAAGGAAGGAGGGAGCTTGAGGGAGGGAGAGAGGGAGAGAGGGGAGCACGGCTATCTTCTTAGAATTGTACCAATGAAATACATTAAATCTGTTCTCTTTATGTTAATAAAAATTTTAAAAAGAAACTGGAAATTTATTATAAAGAATTTTTTAAGTCCAGATCTTGAAAATCTATAGAGCTAAGGAAGGAATGCTAAGGCATTAAGAATGTATTTGCAGGATAGTAGCTACTGCCCTTAGGATTGGAAGAGAAGAATAATGTTGAAATTATTAGAAGTTAGAAACTTGGAGGATGAGGGGTACTAGAGAATGAGCGGTTCTCCAAGGAGGGAGTCTCTATCTAACTGGTACTAATATTGCTATTATTCAGAGGATAGATCCTGAACTAAAGCTTAAAAAAGAAACTGAAGTGAGCATAAAGGTATGCAAAGTACAGATTATAGGCGGTAGGTACCCATTTCTTTAAAATCTATTGATATATCACCACTGTGTATCAAGCATTATTCTATATACTTAATATAAAAATTCATTTATTTAATCTTCATAACTCTTGGAGGCAGATACATTCACCTGTGCCCATGTTACATAATGGCAATCAAAGGCCATGTCATTACCAAGTTGTAGACCCAGGGTTCAATCCCAGGCTTCTGGTTCTATCCAATAGAACTGATGACTCTGTGATGCACAACGTGATACTGGACATATGTGGCAATTAAGGCAACTGAGCCTCTGAATCATGGTGAAAGTACCTGAAAAACAGAATGTTTTTATTTTTATCTACTATTACTGAACTTAAATTACATGGCTACCTGTGGAGCTGACATTGTGGTACAGTTAAGCTGCCACTTGCCACGGTGTCATTCCATATTGGAGCACCAGTTCGAGTTCCACCTGTTCTGCTACTGATGCAGTTCCCTGATAATGTTCCTGGGAAGGCAGCAGATGATGGGCAAAGTGCTTGTTCCCTTGCCTCCCATGTGGAAAACCCAGATATAGTTCTGGTCTCCTGGCTTCAGCCTTGCCCAGCTCCAGTTATTGTGACTATTTGGAGAGTGAACAAGTAGATGGTACATCTCTCTTTCTCTCAGTTTATCCCCCTCTCTCTCTGTCACTCTGCCTTTCAAATAAATCTTTCTAAAAATTGAACAAACATCTACATGTGTTTAGAGTCTACCATACTGGACGGTGCAGCCTAGATCATCAATGTTGCATTGTTTTGCTAAAGGGCTAGTTCCACTACAGAAACTGCTACAGACCTTTCTCCACATTATTCTTCGCACTTGTCTACATTGGTTGTGTTCCGTTACTGGTTTCTTTTGATTAATAAAGTGATCTTTTTAATATACTATCTTCAATAGAATGAGATTCTGTCTCCAAGGAACTCAACCAGCAATGGCTCAACGCTTACCTTTTTACCATTTGCTACAAGAAGTACTTTTTGCTGTGCTTGCTCAAAGCCAGACACTATTCTTAGCTACAGGTCACATGTGAGAACTTGCTACACATGCCCACCCGTGATTCTCTACTTTGCTCTCTTTTACAGAACCAGCAACGTTTTTATGGTTATTGGAATGTAAAATGAGCTTTGATGGACAGAAAGAGACATCATGACACTTTCTATGAAACAGCATCAAACTTTGTTTTCCTTTAAGCCATCAAATTATGCTCTTATTTTTGCTTGTTTCACAAACTGAACCTCTCTGCACATGGCAAGTGGCCAATCCTCTTATCACCAACCTCCACCCTCCCACCACACCCATGTTACTTGCCAGGTCTGACCTGTCCAAGTTCAAAAACAAAAACAAAAAACAAAACAATCAAAAACAGGACTACACATTTTTTTTTCTCCCAAGTTAAGCCTCTATTGAAATCTGGAAAATGATTTTATTTGATCCATAGTGTAAGCACTTTGCTGCCCATTCCCACTATACCTTCTTCATTTCTGAGTTGTGATGATCTGTCTGGACAAACACAACCCTACTTGTAATCAAGGGAAAGGGTATGACTGTCAATTATACCCAAACCCCTATTACGATATTACTTATACTCATTTTTTAAAACTGTATCACCAAAATTACAAGTGGAAAATTTTTCTGAAAAACCACATGGTAGAAGCCACACAGATAAATTGGAAACCCCAAACAACTATAAAAATATGATGGCATGATTTTTTAATAATTTCTTAAAATCAAGCCAGTGCCACCTGCAGAGAATGGAGATTGCGTTGCTATGCTGGGAGTATGTTAGAGTGCTCACGTACAAATCTCCTGCTAAGTCATTTCCTCTCTTTATTTTCACTTTGGATTTCCAAGCAAAATATTCATATCTCTTTCTGTATATAGACTGACTCAGTCTTGTCATAATTTTGTGGGCAAAGTGAGTACATGTGTTATATGTTTATTCTATTATTTCTTTCCATATTAGGATATTGATTTGGGGCAATTTTAATTTCTCCTGTTTTCTTTGGATTCTCTTCTCTCCAACCTTCATTCCTATTGATATGTGCATAGATTATCACATGTCTGATTTTTATCACACAGAGATTCACCGGGTTTAACAGATTTGATGTGCATTTTTTTTTCCTTAATAGAAGCAACTTCACTCATATACAGGAAAGTTTAAAATATTCAGTTGGGGCCAGCACTTTGGTATGGTAGGCTAAGCCTCAGCCAATGGTACTGGCATCCCATATGGGCAACAGTTCGTGTCCCAGCTACTCCTATTCCAATCCCCCTCCCTGCTGATGGCCTCGGAAAGCAGTGGAAGACGGATCAAGTGCTTGGGCCCCTTTACCTATGTGGGAGACCCAGAGGAGGCTCCTGGATCCTGGCTTCAGATAGGCCTAGTTCCAGCCTTTGCTGCCATTTGGGGAATGAACCCACATGGAAGTAGATAGAAGATCTCTCTCTCTCTCTCTCTCTCTCTCTCTGTGTGTGTGTGTGTGTGTGTCTGTCTCTGTCTCTCCCTCTCTGTCTGTAACTCTACCTCTCCAATAAATAAATAATCATTTTTAAAAAACACATATCATTAAAATTTTAGTAGTATATAATTCTTAAGTTTTTTGAGAAATATATAAAACAAAGTTTTATAAAACACAATATTGGCAATACAAACAGGCATTTCCTTTTTTTTTAAATTTCTTCTTAATTTTAGCTCCCACACATAAGGGAGATCATGCAGTATTTGTCTTTCAGTATCCAGCTTATTTCATTCAACTTGATGCCCTCTGGTTGCAATCACTTTGATGTGAATGAAAGAATTTCATTTTTAATGGCTAATTTTAAAATTTAGTGTATATGTGTGAAAGTGAACATATTTCATATGATTATTGTTTATAACCCTTGCCTATACTCTTGCTGAACTAGCTCATTATACTTTTATTCATATGATTCTTTATTTAGTGGAGAATTAAGCCTTTGACTAACATAAATTAAAAACATGTTATTTCAGAAGTAACAAGTAAAATACTAAGTTGAAAAAGAAAGAAAACACTTTTGAACAAAAGAAAAAGAATAAGAAGTCAATTGCCTTAGCACTAAACAACTTTTTTTTTTCAAAATGAAGCTTATTGTGCTGCTTCAAGAGACCTGAAAATGACATGATCACAAAGATGACGTTTTTCATCTGACTGCCACAGATGTCCTCTCATCCACACAGATCGCTTGCTCCTTGTTCTGAAGTAAGCAAGACTTTCAGTCATTCAGAGTTCATGTATTTATAAAACTGAGGAGTCCCTCTGCTGAGTGGGTTTGTACGGATAGGCAAGAGTGTACTTCAAAACTGGTGGTAGAATTTGTCCAAGGAGTCAAGTTAAGTAAATTCAACAATCACAAGTTCAGAATTGTGAAAAGGAAAGACATCAGTTTTATCACTGCCTTTAATATTGAAGTATTTTAATATAAACATGACAGTTTATAATTATTGTATGAAAAAAATTCTGTGTTCCTACTTTTAATTTGATTTATATCAATAAAGCTTATATTAATTAGGAATTATTTCCTTAAACAAGGGAAAAATAGAATTCATAGACAGAAATGAATAGAATGGCTATTATTGATCTTTAGAAAGTGAAGAGCAACTGCAAACTTATCCATTTTATGCCACATTTTATTCATTTTTTCATTCCTGAAACATATATAGGGCATTTTTTTATTTTTTTTAACTTTTATTTAATGAATATAAATTTCCAAAGTACAGCTTATGGATTACAATGGCTTCCCCCCCATAACGTCCCTCCAACCCGCAACCCTCCCCTTTCCCACTCCCTCTCCCCTTCCATTCACATCAAGATTCATTTTCGATTCTCTTTATATACAAAAGATCAGGTTAGCATACATTAAGTAAAGATTTCAACAGTTTGCTCCCACACAGAAACATAAAGTGAAAAATACGGTTTGAGTACTAGTTATAGCATTAAATCTCAATGTACAGCACACTAAGGACAGAGATCCTACATGAGGAGTAAGTGCACAGTGACTCCTGTTGTTCACTTTACAAATTGACACTCTTGTTTATGGCATCAGTAATCATCCTAGGCTCTTGTCATGAGTTCACTGACTCTGATCATATTTATATAAGGCCACGGTCAAAGTGGAAGTTCTCAGTTCTCTCCTCCCTTCAGAGAAAGGTACCTCCTTCTTTGATGACCCGTTCTTTCCACTGGAATCTCACTCGCAGAGATCTTTCATTTAGGTTTTTTTATTTTTCCCCAGAGTGTCTTGGCTTTCCATGCCTGAAATACTCTCACGGGCTTTTCAGCCGGATCCGCATGCCTTAAGGGCTGATTCTGAGGCCAGAGTGCTGCCATTCTATGGCAGCATCTGCCATTCTATGGGTCTGCTGTGTATCTCACTTCCCTTGTTGGATTGTTCTCTCCCTTTCTTCTTCTATCAGCTAGTATTTGCATACACTAGTCTTGTTTATGTCATCCCTTTGACTCTTAGTTCTATCATTATGATCAATTGTGAACAGAAATTGATCACTGGGACTAGTGAGATGGCATTGGTACATGCCACCTTGATGGGATTGAATTGGGATCCCCTGGTATGTTTCTAAGTCAGCTTGAGCATGTCCCGAACTGCACATCTCTTCCCTCTCTTACTCCCACTCTTATATTTAACAGCGATCACTTTTCAGTTAAGTTTCAGCACTTAAGAAGAATTGTGTATTGATTACAGTATTCAACCAAAAGTATTAAGTAGAACAAACAAACAAAAAAATACTAAGAAGGATAACATATTAAGTTGTTCATCAACAGTCAGGGTGAGGGCTGATCAAGTCACCATTTCTCATAGTGTTCATTTCACTTCAACAGGTATTTATTAAGCAGGAAGAAATATAAGATTAAGATCCAAACCTGTCTCAGAAAGATTGATCTACTTAGCAAGGGAGCACAAATAATTGAAAAGAAAGTCTTCCAGGTCTTAGCTATTGTGAATTGAGCTGCAAGAAACATTAATGTGCAGATAGCTTGTTTGTTTGCCAATTTCATTCCTTTGGGTAAATTCCAAGGAGTGGGATGGCTGGGTTGAATGGTAGGGTTATCTTCAGGTTTCTGAGGAATCTCCAGACTGACTTCCATAGTGGCTTAACCAATTTGCATTCCCACCAACAGTGGGTTAGTGTCCCTTTTTCCCCACATCCTCGCCAGCATCTGTTGTTGGTAGATTTCTGAATGTGAGCCATTCTAACTGGGGTGAGGTGGAACCTCATTGTGGTTTTGATTTGCATTTCCCTGATTGCTAGTGATCTTGAACATTTTTTCATGTGTCTGTTGACCATTTGGATTTCCTCTTTTGAAAAATGTCTATTGAGGTCCTTGGCCCATCTCTTAAGTGGGTTGTTTGTTTTGATCTTGTGGAGTTTCTTGATTTCTTTGCAGATTCTGGTTCTCAACCCTTTATCAGTTGCATAGTTTGCAAATATATTTTCCCATTCTGTCGGTTGTCTCTTCACTTTCCTGACGTTTCTTTTGCAGTACAGAAACTTCTCAATTTGATGCAATCCCAAATGTTAATTTTGGCTTTGACTGCCTGTGCATCTGGGGTGTTTTCCAAGAAGTCATTGCTGGTACCTATATCTTGCAGTGTTTTTCCAATGCTATCTAATAATTTGATGGTGTCAGGTCATAGATTTAAGTCTTTAATCCATGTTGAGTGGATTTTTGTGTAAGGTGAAAGGTAGGGGTCTTCCTTCATGATTCTGCACGTGGAAATCCAATTTTCCCAGCACCATTTATTGAATAGACTGTCCTTACTCCAGGGATTGGTTTTGGATCCTTGATCAAATATAAGTTGGCTGTAGATATTGGATTGATTTCTGGTATTTCAATTCTGTTCCATTGGTTTATCAATCTGTTTCTGTACAAGTACCATGCTGTTTTGATTACAACTGCCCTGTAGTATGTCCTGAAATCTGGTATTGTGATGCCTCCAGCTTTGTTTTTGTTGTACAAGATTGCTTTAGCTATTCGAGGTCTCCTGTGTCTCCATATGAATTTTAGCATCATTTTTTCCAGATCTGAGAAGAAGGTCTTCGGTATCTTGATTGGTATTGCATTGAATTTATAAATTGCTTTTGGAAGAATGGACATTTTGATGATATTGATTCTTCCAATCCATGAGCATGGAAGATTTTTCCATTTCTTGGTATCCTCTTCTATTTCTTTCTTTAAGGTCTTGTAATTTTCATTGTAGAGATGGTTAAGTTTATTCCAAGGTATTTGATTGTTTTTGTAGCTATTGTGAATGGGATTGATCTTAGAAGTTCTTCTTCAGCCATGGCATTGTCTGTGTATACAAAGGCTGTTGATTTTTGTGCATTAGGGACGTTATGGGGGGAAGCCATTGTAATCCATAAGCTGTACTTTGGAAATTTATATGCATTAAATAAAAGTTTAAAAAATAAATAAATAAATCTTAAAAAAAAGAAAAGAAAGTCTTTAAATGCAGTGATCAGGAAAAGAGAAAAGTATCATGAGAACACAGGAGAGACATCTAACACATCAGGCACCCTGGAGGAGGTGGGGTCTAATCTGTGACCAGGTAGTTATGTGGAAAGGAGTTGGAGGAAGAACAGCGGGAAGGGAAGGAAGCATACAGCGCACAGGGAGAATTATGATTGTTTCCATACTGCCAAGCAAAAAACCATAACACAGACTTTGAAGAGAAATAACAATCGAGAAGTCAAGTAGAACCAGATCTTAGGAGCCTTGTTTACAGCAGTTGATGGAAAGAATTTTAGAATTCTAAGCAAAATAAGCTGTCCAATTTGGTTTTCTTTATCTCAGAGGTATATCAATTAGTAATTAGTTTGTTCTGCTTACCAAAAAAAAAAAAAAATTCCAAAACCTAGAAGTTTGAAAGAGTGATGATTCAATTTGTAAAAATGAGAATGATTCTTCTGGTCAGGTCAGCTCAATTGATTCTACCTGATTTCTTAAGGATCTGAAGGCAGCTGAGGAGTTGGATAGCAGCAGGAGTGCTAGCTCCCAGACCCCTTGAGTTCTGAACTCACAATGTAGAATATTCCATCATCACCATATTCCATTAGTCAGAGCTAGTCACAAGGCCAGCTTAGATTCAAGGGAAGTGCAGTGCAGAGAAATGGGCTCATTCTTAATGGGAGAAACTACAAGATTTTATTACAGAGAAATAAAACCAAAGGTAAGAAAATCAGTTAAGAAATATTATGGTAGCCTAAACAAGAGTTAACAAGTCTGACCTGAAAGAGTGACACAAATGGGGAAGAAACCAATTTAAGAAACGGTCAGGGCCAGCATTGTCATACAGAAAAGTAAAGCCGCTGCCTACAATGCCAACATCGTAGATGGGTGCTGTTTCTTCTCCTGACTACTCCACTACAGCTCCCTGCTCATGACCTGGGAAAAGCAGCAGAAGATGGTTCAAGTGCTTAGGCTCCTGTGTTCATGTGAGAGACCAGGATGAAGCTCCTGGCCCCTGGCTTCATCCTGGCTCAGCTCTGGCTGTTGCAGCCAACTAGGAAATGAATCAGCAGATAGGCAGGCACTCCCCTCACCCTCTGTAACTCTGACTTTCAAATAAATAAAGAAATTTTTAAAAAAGAAAAAAAAAAGAAGCAATGAAGAGCAAAATGGCAGCATTTCATGACAGATTGGCTCATGACAGGTAAAGAGGAGTTTGCCTTTCATTACTACAGGGGAATACCTGAGACAACTTATGAAGGGAAGACGTTTATTTTGGCTCACAGTTCTGGATTTCAAAATTTAGTGACCCCATTGGTTTGGCAGCAACTGGCAGTGGCAGAGCCAGTGCATGGGAAGGGTCATGTAGCAAATCAAGAAACGGAGAACCCGTGGCTGTATTGTATAACCAACCATCTTGTGAGAATTGTCTTCTCAGGAACTGCCCCAAAAGATCTGCGACTTCCCACTATGTCCACCTCCTAACTATCATACTTGGATAAAGTTTCTACCCCCTTAGTAGCATCATCCATGACTTTGGGGTTTAAAGCCCAGAATGAGTTCAAGAATCGAATCTTGTTCAAACCATGGCATCTAGTTAGGCCAAAAACAAGGCATAAATCAAATATTTGAGGGCTCAAAGTAATTGTTGCTCCAATTATCTTAACAACAGACTTCCAAAAAGGCAGGCCTTACACAAGAACCAAGGCATGCATCAGGAAAGTAAAGAATGCAGATCAATTCAATACAGCACATTTTAATTCAACACTACCAGTCTTAGTGTTGGGCAATGGCATTACCTTCCATGAATTGATACTACTTCAGTTCAAGAGACAAGGCATACTTGAAAACAGACAATAATAGGAAATAGTAATTGATCAAATTACAAAATAAAGAATAAAGATGGAAAATAACATACTATGGAGAAGTAAAGTCTGAAAAAGTCAAGGAAGTCTTCATGGAAGAGGTGAAACCTAAGGTGAAATTTTTATAACTAAAATGTCTTATAAGTAACAGTGAATTATATCAAACCAAATATCATTTATATGACTGGTAGACATGATTTTAATGTCTTGTTTCCAACCTCTATTGTTATAAGAATTGAGAAAACAGTTGTTGCAATCATGTTCTGTATTTGGTGGTTCAGACAACGAACCCTGATTAAGAAAAGCTGTTTTGTGTATTATTTATTGGACTCAGAATTCCAGTTGTTAAAATCTGTCAAAACTTGTCCCAGCTGTGAGAGCCAACTTCAAAGTTATGCTAGGGACAAAGCCAGACTGAATCAAGAGAAAGTATTAGTAAACCAGCAGGTTTCTGAGATGAACTATGGTAGAGAAGAGAAAATAAGGCTAAGTTTTGTCCTGGATGCAAGGACCTATCAGCAGGCATAGGTCTAGGGAAACTGCATTGAAATTTAGAAGAGGAACACATTCTAGAAGAAATCCATAGTCTGTGGCACATAGTAAATATTTAAATAAATGAAAAGATAGACAAACATAAATAATGGAGTGTGTGCAGATGGGGAGGAGATACTAAATTATTTGTAAATTCCACAACTCAGAGCAGGAACTAGAAAATTCAGAGCAGAAGAAACAAACATGAAGCATTTCTAATGATTTTCTGTACTAACCAGTGGCCTGGAAAGAGATGGACACACAATGGAGATCCAAGATTGTTACTCAAGACATGGCTCAGAAGGAGAGGCGACCATTTAAGTGTCCTTCAAGAGTGTTGGCATCCTCGTGTGAGGGCAGAGAATAAAAATGCTTATTTCTAAATTTTTCAGATAGCCAACAAGAAAATTGTTTACATGATTCACTGAGTTTCAGGATGTGTGAATCAATGTGTAGATCCTGGGAGTAATTGCAGTGGGGTTAAAGTGGGGTCAAGAGTTAACCACAAGCCAATGGAAACATTTCCATTCTAAATAGAATTCGTGTTGGAAATCCCTAGTTTTGCAGAAATCTAGCTACCTGAAAAATATTATCTCACTACCAGCTCCACTACCACCAGATAATCCTGGGAGTCTCTATTTGAGATCTAAAACAAATCATATCAGCTAGGACATGGCATCCATCAGTCATTTCTTTTTCTCTTGCAGCAATTCTCTCCTGGTTTAAATAATATGCTTTATACTAGCAGCCCTCCCCATACTTTGTCCTGGGTCCATTTCTAATTACTGCTTCTGCCTGACACTGCTGTCATCTGTTGGAGACTGTGCCTGCTCTCAACAGCACGCACAGTGCCACGTGTGTATGATATTCTAAACAAAGCCAGGAAGAATAGATCTCCATTTCTTTGATACTCTCAGGGTGTTGATAATAGAATATTACAAATATTAGACATTTTAATTTATATTTTTATAAATTAAATATTAGACAAATATGTGAATATTTTAATATCAGACTAAATATTAGACATTAGACATTTTAATTTAAAAATTACTTGTAATAGAATGTACTATAAAAAAACTAAATAGATTCTCATTTTATTTTTTCCTTTTTTGTTTTGCTTTTGCATTTTGCATTGTTTTGTTTTTACTGGTATAGATTTACAAAGGAATTTAAAAAAAAAAGACTCCTTTTCCTTCCCACACTGTTATGCCAGATAGAAGATGCCTGCACCGTGATTTTTTAAAAGTTGATCTTCTCATGCCACAACTGCAGGAGAGGGCACAGTTTTTGTACTCAGTAGAATAAGGCAGGATGAGCAAGGGAAGGTGATGTTTTGGTGTGAAAGCAACCATCTCAGGTTCTCCACGGAATGGGAATTGTGACCCCTGCCTCTGTACTAAAGGACAGCAGGGACTTTGAGAATGGGCTGTCTAAGGCTTGCAGCTTGACCACTTATATGTCTTCTTATCCAGAACACTTAACTGCCCACCTCTGATGAAACAGCAGCCCTACACAATGAGCATCTCAGGAAAGACAGTCACGTAATTTACACCAGAGAATCTTTACCCCAGTCGCCATATCGGGAAAGCTCCTTGGATGTTGTAAAGCTACTAGGGCAAGGGAGATAACCTCTAAAACATAACCAAGTTTGAACACCCTACGAACTCCAACTAAACAACTAAACAACTCATAGGATCTTAATTCTTTCACCGAAAGTTAAAGCCTATGAATATTTAAGTGAATCAATTTCTCATTTTAATAATTATTTCATAGTGATTCACTAATTTCTTCTGATGGTTATGATGACCAGGCAATGTAAAATATGAGAAATCTAATTTTTGGGTCCTCAGGCACAAATACTGCTTCACTCCATATTTTCACTAATGCAATGAGAGATTGGCATTGGATTACAAAGCCTCTCCTGGTTGAGGTCAGTGCCCTGGGCCATGGATACTTGGCTTCAGGAAGGAAAACCACAAATCTGAAGGCTCCTTGGTGAGTTACAGGAATGAAATTGCCTGTGCCTGCCCTCAGGATGGGGGCGTCTTACCAAGGACACTGTTGAGTCATCTCATCTCCTGCTCCTCTTCTTCCCATTCTGGAAACCCGCAGAGTGTGGGTTTGGGCCAAGCAACTTATCTACCTGTTTTTTGGAAGAGCCTGGGATACAAAGAGTAAACTTTTCTGCTAGATCTCTGTTACACTACTGTGCTCTGCCATTTTACTGCTCTCAGAAGTTCCCTCTTATCCATGGGGACACACTTCAAAACCACCAGAGGATACTTGAAAATGAGGATCATATCAAACCTTCCACATACTGTTTTTTCTATTTATCAATTAGGCAATAAGAGAATAAAAGCAAGAATAATAGTAAACAGAACAAGTATCATAATATACTATTATGAAAGTTGTGTAAATTCTCCCTATATCTATTTATCTATTTCTCATTACAAGGCAGGTAACTAAGGCAGTACAAAAATGCTGGACAAAGGGATAATTCATGTCCCAAGATGGAAGAGCAGATCACACTATATTTTGTGATGCTACTCTAACCTCAATTTAAAAGTTATGGTTTATTTCTAGAACCTTCCATTAATATTTTCAGACCATGGTAAACTGATAACTAAAAATACAGACAAAGTGACAACAAATAAGAAGAAACAATTGCACATGCACCCCAAACCTACACCAAGAAGCTAGTTTAGGGATGGCTTCAGATAAGACTTTTCTTAGCATTCAATGATTTCGATCCAACTCAGTCAGCCTACAATTTCTAATGAATGCCTTCACTTCTAAATATGTTTTAATTCATTCATCTCATTGTCAATTTTTGCCCAAGATCATGATCAGTAATGACATGCCTAATATAGGGTAAGAATAACAAAAATTTCAGGGACAGTTTAAAATGTTTAAAGATTGAGAAACACAGAAAAGAGTCCAAAGAAGTCAGAATTTTTCACGGTGTGATCCCTTGAGTTTGTGTATAAAATCATCCAGGCAATTTTTTTTCCCAAAAGAAATTCCTGGGCCCAACTGCTGTAATCTGAATGTTTGTTTCCTCTCAAAACTCGCATGTTGAAACATAATCACCAATTGTTGCTATTAGGAAGTCTGGCCTTTTGAAGGGGATTAGATCAGGAGGGAAAACCCCTGGGATCGGGATTAGTGTCCTCATACAAGTGACCTAAGGGAGTTTGTGTGTCCCTTCCACCATGTGAAGTCACAGAAAGAAGATCTCAGCTCTGCACCAGGAAACGGGTTTTCTCCATACATCACATATGCCAGGGCCTTCATCTTGGACTTCCCACCTCCTGGACTATAAGAAATAAATTTCTGTTGTTTTTGTCTGCCCAGTCGAAGATGTATTACAGAAGCCTAGAGGGACTGTGATGTTGGATATGTTTAATCTCCAAAGGATAAAGCTGAGATTCAGCATGTCTGATTCCAACAGATTAAAGTTGACAATCACTGAAGTAAAGGATGATTAAGAATCAAAATATGGCTCTGAAGAACATTTTGATAAAATATCTCTATCTCAAGAAATAACATTCAGCATGCATAATGGTTTGCTGTATGTATGTCATCATTATAATATGGGTACCATAAGGATGACCATGAAGAACACTGTCAGTCTTCCTCATTGTGGGGAAATCTGGAGGTATCCAAAAACAAGAAGCTTTGTAAGCCTCTCCTGAGGGACATTGTGCCCTATCCCCATTACACAGAATATTGTAAACAGGGAGAAGAGGATATGAGGAAGCAGCTGCCTCTTTCTTGTTGTCTCCGGTGGATGGGGGTTAAGAGGGTGTGGTACTTCTCTCTTCCTCCAAAGACTTGACCCAAGAGACTCGTAAGTTTTGGAAGTATTCTGGTTTTCTATTAACTACTACAGAACTGAGTGGCACAACATAGCAATGTTATTGTCGTGGTCCTTGTACTGTTGACTGGGTTCAGGTGAATGGTTTTATTTGGTATTTCTCAAATAGAATCAGTCAGGTAGCAGCTGGATGTAGAGATCTCTGAAAGTTCGTGGATTAGGTGTGCAAAATGATTCACTCACATGGCTAAGAATTGATGCTGAGTAGCATATTGGAATCCAGCTAGGGCTGTCAAACACTGAACTTACATGTAGCCTTTCCATGTAGCTTGGGTGTCTCACAGCATTGCTTTGGGCATGATAAGCCTAAGGGCTGCTACAAGGGCAAATATTCAAGACAAGAGCTACAAGATTTCTCATAAATTTTCTCAAAGTACCAGAACATCCCTTCTAATTCACTCTGGTGGTTGAGCAACTCATATAGGCCAGAAACATAAGGAGCAATATAGTCTACTTCTTGAAGGAGTAGAATGGAGAATTCACACTGAAGGAGAACATCAGCAGTAAGAGATATTGAAATAATCATCTTTTAAAAAATATAACCTTCCATGACATGTGGCCACCAAGGGGAGTTGGCAGAGAGTATAAAACATATTCAGGATTCAGAATACAGGCTAACCCAGGTTTTAAAGGTATTAGAGAAAGCAGCATTAGTAGAGTTCTGAAGGGGAAAGCCACAAATTCTACCCAACCTCTACCTGCTGTGGTTCACTTTGTTTTAGTGTTATAGCAAAGGAAACAAAAGCTGGAAGTATCCATTGCCTGTAAGAATTCCCCATGAGTGAAGGATGAAGGTTTTGGAAGTCCACCCTGCTCAGTTCTCAGTTGGAGTGAATAGAAACCACATACCCTATGATTCTTGAATATCACTGAACACAGGATTTACTCTACATGAGACTGAGGGCTTAATAGCCAGAGTAAAATGTAAATCATCAGGGCCAAATGTTTCAGCAGGAGCTGAAGTAGTCTAATGGTGTTTTATAATTTCACCTCTTCACTGTCTCTCCTACCCACTCTACTCCCGGTCTAAAATGCAAGAACAAGAAATTAGGAACTTGAAAAATTAAAACACCTTAAAAATAATCCATTCCATTGTTAAACATTGCTATCATGCTGGTTGCCCAAACAAACCTCCTGTGTGTAAATAGTTTTTTTGAAATAAAACTTTGACTCACTTTCTAATGAAAGTCCTGAAAGTTACTAGCTATGCCATAAGCTGATTTCTGGAAAAAATATGTGAAATTTAGAGTGTTTGATTCCTGTGGAAGTACCTGTTTCATCCCAGGAAAAGAGTTGTGTTATTTTAAAATCTCTATCCCTGCTATTAGTCTGTAAGATCCTTGTGGGCTCAAGTCTGCCTTGTCCACTGCTGATCGCATCTCTACCATCTAATATGGTGCCTCTTTGGGAAGAAAGTTAATAAGCATTGAATGATTGAGTTAGGTTAATGAGCCAAAGAAGCAAAGAACTCTAAATATGGAAGAGAATTTTGAGATCAGTTACTGCAACCTTGATCTTGTGAATTGTGAGTCTGAGGTCCACAGAGGTTAAAGAATTGCCTCACCATGATTATGTACAGAAAGTGGCAGCCTAGAGAATAAAACTTGAGTCTCTTGTGTCTCAATTCAGAGAGTTCTGTAAAATACTACAGGAACTTTTCCTCACAGTGATACACCAGGAGAGCCAGACAACAATTAGCTGGATTAAATCTGGCTCTGTGTTCAAGATAATATCAACAATTTTCTTTGCTTTTCTCCTCTCTCTTTAAAATCATGACTTAACTAAATTAAAAAAAGAGAAGTTTGAAATGAGAACATCATTTTCATAAAAACTGAACACATCTAGAAGGAGGGACTAAAGACACAAAGGGCATTCTTATCTGAGATTCAAAAGCAGTCACGTGATATACCAAAGAGCCAAAATACATCGCTTCAGTGAACAAGATTTTCATTCATAGATTCATTCAACAATATTATTGAGCATATACTGTAATATGTAGTATTTTGGAATTAGAGGGCAATTACAAGACAAAATGCTTTCTAAAAATAAGCTCTATTCTTATTGAGGAAGCAGAAATAAACCAATACATAAATAAAATTTTCCCATCTATTTTTATTAACATAAAGAGAACAGATTTCATGTATTTCATAAATATAATTCTAAGATAACCATATTTCCCTCCTTCCCTTTGTTTGCCCCAAACCCCCTCCTTCATTCCTTTTTTATTAATTTTTTTGACAGGCAGAGTGGAAGTGAGAGAGAGAGAGAGAGACAGAGAGAAAGGTCTTCCTTTGCCATTGGTTCACCCTCCAATGGCCACCACGGCCGGTGCGCTGCGGCCAGCGCACCGTGCCTATCCGAAGGCAGGAGCCAGGTGCTTCTCCTGGTTTCCCATGGGGTGCAGGGCCCAAGCACTTGGGCCATCCTCCACTGCACGCCAGGCCACAGCAGAGAGCTGGCCTGGAAGAGGGGCAACCGGGACAGCATCTGGTGCCCCAACCGGGACAAGAACCTGGTGTGCCGGCGCCACAAGGCAGAGGATTAGCCTATTGAGCCATGGCGCCAGCCCTTTTTTATTAATTTTTGCAAAGACAATTGTAATCCACTCTATAATCATAGGCTTAATTCACCATGAAGCATAATATTTAAAAAATAAGAAGTTGGAAGACCATAGTTCATCAGGAGTATAAGAGCTAAAAATGACAAACATATCCCGAGATGTCCATTTCATTCCTATATATTTTGGTATTCTATATTAATGACCACATATCAGAGAAAACATATATTTATATTTTTGAGACTGGGTTATTTCACTAAGCATAATGGTTTTCAGTTGCATCCATTTCATGGCCAAAGACAGGATTTTCCTCTTTTTCCTAGATGAGTAATATACCACATTTTCCTTATCTAGTCATCAGTAGCTTATCTATTGTGAATTGAACTACAATAAACATGAAGGTACAAGCAACTTTTTCATATGCTGATTTCATTTCCTTTAGGCGAAGTCCCAGGAATGGGATGGCTGGATCATATATTAGATCTATTTTCAGATTTCTGAGGAATCTCCATACTGTCTTCTGTAATGGTTGTACTAATTTACATTGCCACCAACGTTTGTTTTAGAGTATCTTTTTCCCCACAACCTGACCAGCATGTATTATTTTTCTTCACTTTTGGATGATAGCCATTCTAAGTAGGATAAGGTGAGACCCATTGTGGTTTTCATTTGCATTTCCCTGATGGCTGGTATCCTGAGCATTCATTCTTTGAAAAATGGCTATTCATATCCTTTGTCCATTTCTTAATTGCACTGTTTGTTTTTTTGTTATTGAGTTGCTTGAGTTCTTTCTATATCCTGGATATTAATCCTTTATCAGTTGCATACTTTGCAAATATTGTCTCCCATTCTGTCAGTTGCCTCTCCACCTTATTGAGTGCTTCTTTTGCACTGCAGAAGCTTCTTAGTTTGATGTAAACTCATTTGCCTATTTTGGCTTTGATTGCCTATGCTTCTGGGATCTTTTCCAAGAAGTCTTTGCCTGTGTCAATACATTGCAGCGTTTTTCTGATGTTCTCTTCTAGTAATTTGATGATCCATTTTAGTTGATTTTTTTATAAGATGTAAGGTAGAGTTCTAGTTTCACAGTTCTGCATGCATAGATTTAAATTTCCCAGCACCATTTGTTAAAGAGACTGCCTTTTTTTCAGGGATTTACTTTAGGCTGTTTTACAAAGATTAGTTGGTTGTAGACACATGGCTTAATGTCTCGGTTATCTATTCTGTACCATGGTCTACATATCTATTTTTGTGCCAGTACCAGGCTCTGTTGTTTACAACTGCCCTATAATATGTCTTGAAATCTGGTATTGTGATGCCTCTGGCTTTGTTTCTTTTTTAAAATATTTATTTATTTATTTGAAAGAGTTACAGAGAGAAAGTGGGAGAAACACAGAAAGCAAGAGACATGTTCCATCTGCTGGTTCACTTCCCATTTTGGGGACCTTTTGATGATGTAAATTCTTTTAATCCATAAACATGGAAGATTTTTTCCATTTTTGTGTCTTATATTTCTTTCTTGTTTGCAGTCTTTCGCATCCTTGGTTAAATTTGTTCCAAAGTACTTAAATTTTTTGTAGCTACTGTGAATGGTACTAGTCTAATGAGTTCTTTCTCAGCCATGACATTTTTTTTGTATGCAGAGACTATTGATTTTTGTGTGTTGATTTTATAGCCTGTAACTTTACTAAATTCTCTTAATGAGTTCCAACAGTCTTTCACTGGAATCCTTTCATTCCCTGTGTAGAGGATCATGTCATCTGCAAACAGAGATAATTTGATTTCCTCCTTTCTAATTCGTAACCATTTGATTTCTTTTTCTTGCCTAATGGTTCTGGCTAAAACTTCTAGAACTATATTGAATAGCAATGGTGAAAGTAGGCATCCTTTCTGGTTCTGGAAATGCTTTCAGCTTTTCCCCCATTCAATATGGTGCTGGTTATAAATTTTTTGGAATAATTAGTAGTCAGAAGTAAATAACTATGCTAGAATATTACTAAAGAATCTCCTTTGGAGTCTTAGTCTGGAAAGCCTCTCTGAAGTGATGATATCTTATCTAGAATCATGAGAAGGAGTTTGTTCTACTAAGCATTAAGTAAATTACCCAGGCCAAGAGAGCAAAAATGCCATGGCTCAAAGGTGTAAAAATTTGAGGAAAGTGGGAAGGAAAATTAAAGCAGAACACATAGCCTGAGAAGAAGCAAAAAAAATTTATATTCATTAAATAAAAGTTAAAAAAATAATAAAATAAATAAAAATGAAATGATAAAGAAAGTAAAATAATGAAGTGTAAATGACAAGGAAAAAAATAAAATACATGGCATATTTTGAAATAAGTATTTCTTATGTAAGCATGGGAATGTTGCTAAAAATCTATGTTAGAAGGCTGTGAAAGACATCAGAGAGTTCAGACATAATTCTTCAGACAATAGAAGTCAAGATGTGTTAAAATGGATGAATACGGGGAATGGATTGAAACACAAGAGGCAGGGAGTTCAGACAAAAGATCTTAAGGTGCAGAATTATCAAGGGAAAAATGGTCATGGAAAGGAGAAGAAAGAATTAAGAGACATTTCAAAGGTGGATTCATGATGTCTCTAGTGACAAATTGGACATAGGGGTTGAGACAGAAGGAGTCACAAAACTTTACGGTTTCCATATTTTAGAAATGGGGGAGTGGGGAGTACAAGTAGACAACATATGGAGGAGCAATTTTGTGCATTGAGTTCACTTGAGGCCATATTTAGAGGGACAGACATCTGTGTGACAGCCAGGGAGTACTGTCTGGCCAACAATTGGGAACTGAAGTCTGGTTTTCAGAAGGAAGGGGTGAAGTTGCCAATTTGGAAGATGTATGCATAGAAATGTGTGTTGGATCCATGAGATGGTTGAAGCTACTCAGAGAATGAAGGGGGTTTGGGGAAAGAGGAAGTTGAGAAAAGGCTAGAGAAGAGGAATAGAAGAGTACCTTAGGAGGTTATTTCCATTCAGAAGTGAGGAAACAGAGGAGAGTCAGAAAAGCATTCAAAGCTGAATGCAGTGGTAGGAGGCAAATCAGAAATGAATATTATGTCAAAAGTGATTGGATGAGAGAAGAAGCAGGGAATCAAGATTTTCAAGAATGCTGTCAAGAAGAGAGTAGACTTCACTTAGAGTTGCATAATTATTATTTCTATGAAATAAGTAAGCTTAATTCTGAAGGATAAAACTTCAGTGTTCGTCTGAAAATAAGTGTAAATTTTGCTGACCAAAATTCTTTGTTGTACACTCCCATGACATTTTTGCCCACTATCAAATGCAAAACCTTTTACTGCTTAGTAAGTACCTACTGCATGATAATAGTGACTGTCTCCCAATATTTCATGGGAACTATGAATAAAGAATGCAGCTTATGCTGGATTTATTTAATGCTGTAGAGAAGTTAGATAATACTTTACTAAAAATAGAGTTATTTGATGAAGTACAAAGTATCATAGATGCATGTCTTACGTATACAATTGATATGACAGTGTTATTTAGTTACTAACCACTGTCACTTGAATAGATGATCACCTAAAATTTTTCATTGTAGCTTGCAATCTCAACCCAATTGAAATTCATACCTATCACAATAGATTTCATTTTGTCTGTACTGTGTAATTACCAAACTGACATAATATCTTCCATAGAGCACTATCATTAAGATCACATTATGCTTTTTCAAAACACATCATTTTCCTTAGGGTCTCTCTGACATCAGTCACCCCAGAGGCTCTTGGCTAATGTCATTAGAGGGAAATAGAAAATGAGGTCTCCTATGCATTAGTGTGCCAGCATTTTACTAAAATAAAAAATAGAAATTTAAGTAAAAAAGAATGGATGGGAAGAAAAAACATCAAAATGTGAAAATCGTAAGACAAAATGGTCAAATTCCAACAGTCCACAACATACTATATTACACCTGTCTCCTAATATTTTTTAGCATTGTGTAGAAAATTAAATTACCACATTTATGTGATCTAAGATCTTTGAATCTGATTTGAGTCATTGTATTTCTGAGGTTGCTTCACTACATTTCTTTACAAGAAGGCAAAGCTTTTCATTGTTTTAAAAGTGATTCACAAGATATGTTCTCTCTTGGCTTACTTCTTTCTACATGTGGACACCGTTAAGGAAGCATCATCAACTTCTCTCTTCCCAACACCATAATATCTAAGTTAGAGTCTCCTAAAGAGCCCAAACCATGGCAGAAGCTCTTCATTGGAGGGCTGAGCTTTGACACAATTGATGAGAGTCTGAGGAGCCATTTTGAGCAATGGGAAGTGCTCATGGACTTTGCAGTAATGAAAGACCCGAACTCCAAGTGACCCAAAGGCTTCAGATTTGTCACCTATGCCACCATGGAGAAGGTAGATGCATCTATGAATGCAAGAATCCATAAGGTAGATGGAAGATTTGTGGAGCAAAAAAAAGGGCTGTCTTACGAAAAGATCCTCCAAGACGAGGTGCACATCAAACTGTGAAAAAGATCTTTGTTGGTGACATTGAAGAAGATATGGAAGCCCACCAGAGATTATTTTGAACAGTGTGGGAAAATCGAAGTGATTGAGGTAATGACTGAGTGTGGCAGTGGAAGGAGAGGGGTTTTGCTTTTGTGACCATTAACAACCATGACTCTGTGGATAAGATTGTCATTCAGAAATACCATACTGTGAATGGTCACAACTGTGAAGCAAGGAAGGCCCTGTCAAAGTAGGAGATGACCAGTGCTTCACCCACCTCAAGAGGTCGAAGTGGTTCTGGAAACTTTGGTGGTAGTCATGGATATGGTGTTGGTGGCAATGACAACTTCAGTCATGGAGGAAAAGTCAGTAGTTGTGGTGGCTTTGGTGGCCCCTGAGGTGGTGCTGGTTATGATGGCAATGGGAATGGTTACAATGGATTTGGTAATGATGGAAGCAACTTTGGAAGCCGTGGAAGCTACAATGATTTTGACAATTACACAATCAATCTTCAATTTTTGGACCCATGAAGGAAGAAAATTTTGGAGGTAGAAACTCTGGCTCCTATGGTTGAAGAGGACAATATTTTGTCAAAATGTGAAATCAAGATGCTATGGCAGTTCTACCAGCAGCAGTACCTATGATAGGGGCAAAAGGTTTTAATAATTGTCAGGAAACAAAACTTAACAGCAGAGGAGAGCCAGAGGAGTGAAAGGGAAGATACTTGTTACAACAGATTTATGAACTTGGCCAAGTACAGTGGTGGCAGGGTGTAGCTACTACAAAGAAGACACATTTTAGACAATACTCATGGATATGGGAAAAAACTTCAAGGACTGTATTTGTGACTAATTGTATAACAGTTTGTTTTAGTTTTCATCTATGGAAAGTATAAAGCATCCTGACAAGGGGTTGTAATGTTTTTTCTTTCTTTTTTCTTTTTTTGTATGCTGTTTGCTAAATGTTATAGTCTGATCATGATGCTGAATAAATGTGTTTTTAAAACAAATAATTATTCACACCATATTTTAATCTTTTAAGAACTTAAAATGCAAACAATGTTTGCTGACTTTACTAAGAGGTAAAAATAATCAAGTAATTCTCATGAATACTGGCTGTAGTGTTTTCTGCTGTTCACTGCCAAATGCAGCTCAAATGATAGAGTAACTTACCTGAGGTCTTAAGAATAGCATTGTATGTTTATTTTTTCTTTCCTCACAACTTTGGGTAGCATGTTTCTAATATATTTGAGAACACAGAGTCACACTAAAGCCAAATTATGTAATAAGTCTAGCCAAGTTATGACTAAAACGTCCAGAACAGAACATATGAACAACATATGACAGTCCTTTAAGAAATGCTATGCCTTTACAATGTTGACAATATACTTTTAGTCTCACAATCAAGGATATGGGATACTAATAATAAACACCACAAACTCCTCCACTTTACCACATCCCCCTAGTTTCACTGTAATTCAACTCATTACTATTATTTTTCACCTGAATCTTCCTCCAGCTGTCTAACATTTTTTTGTTGCTTTCTCTAAAATGTATGGTTATACTTCTTACAGAAGCTAAAGTAACCTTCTTAAACATAAACTAGTTCATATCATCTTTTAACATTCTCTAATGTTTCTATCCTTCAGGGGCAAAAAAAAATCCTATAGTACTTATTCTACATGTAGGAAGGCCTACATTATCTGTACCTCAGTTCACTTACTAGACAACAACTACATCAAACTTGTGGTTCTAGTATATTCTACCCTTGTTTCCAAAGTAAGGCTCATTGCTCTAGCTATTCACCTCACCTGGGATACTCACCATCACCACCCCAATACCATAAGCTATCCAAGCATAATGTCTTCTTTTAATTCATACCTTGTTTTAAATGAAACACCTTCTTGGGCCTCTCTTGTTCACCCATGCTAAAATAGCACCCCTGTCATCTGTGGAACTATTCTTCATAGTCTTTCCTACCATCTGGTAATTTTCATGTTTGTCTATTGTTTCCATTGTCCAAATAAAAGAATAAATAAATGAAAGCATTACTGCTTCTGTAGATATCTAGAGTTCTGGATAATTTTTTTTAGTTCAATAATATTATAAAGAACTTTGAAATTCCAAATGTCAACTGAACTTGGTCTAATGCATGCATTAATGAAAGAATCCAATATGGAAAAATCATGCAAGCCAAAGTGATCATAAAGGATGTGTCTGACACCATGGCTAGCAAAAAGAAAAATGATTCCAAATTGGTTTGTTCCTTGGGATAATTAGCTTTAAGTTCACAAAGACCTGTGAGATACAAGAGATCCACATTGACCCGCATTCAATCTATGTTTTCCAATAGGAATTATTGTTGACCAATGGTATTTGAAACTTGTTAACAAAAATGATTTAACAATTATTAAGTAAGCAGACAGCACAGCAACAATGAAGAGGAAAATTTATGAAATTCAGAGAGATCGTGTGAATTTAAGTCACAGAGTATCACAGTGGTCTCACTCTTCTTGTAAGCCATCAGGACAGTTCCTCAAGATGAGAGAACATTAAGGAAGTATCACAGTCCATGTCCTTTAAAGCCACATGTTTAGTAATTTTTGAAATAGCAAATGTCTTATTCAAGTACTCTCTGACAGTACACACTATGAAAAGTGGTTTTGTCCACTAATTGCTTTCATGGTTTTCTCTAGCATTTTCTTTTTCTGCTTAGTCACTCATTTTGGAAAAAAAAAAAAAGACTAAAGGTCAGCCTTAGACATATGAGGATCTTTTTAAGTAGTGAATTTGTACAAAAATTACAGATCCATTAGGCTATTATATGCCAGTTCCCCAACAGAGAAAGCTTAAAATTTTATTTCTGAGCAGATGCTCTCTGAGATGGAAATTGCCAGAGCCAAGTTCCTTTTATGAAGAAGAAACATAATACACACATTTTAACATATCCATTTTTTTAGCTTTCCATTTAGTGCTATCCACACAAAATCCTGGCTAGAAGTATAGAATTATTGCAACATGTAAATAAAATCTGCTTGCAATTCACAGTTGTAGCATCACATGCCCAATTTTGAAAAACTGGTAACATGCTCAGTTGGTTGTTCTTGAAACTCAATTACTGCAGGTTTCTGAAAATACAAGTCTGACAGTTGAGAATTCCTTATGCCAAGGACATAAAATGCTAAATATAGAAGACAATTTCAAATTGCCTACTTGAATATTTTGCCAAACTATGTAAAAATATGCAATTGCAGAAAGCATTGTTTTTCCTCTCATCACTCCATGATGCATAAATGTCCATCTTCAAGTTAATTGAACTCACCTACAAGCTAATTAATTTTGAATTCAAATATTTCTCAAAAGATTTCAGATTGGCATATGAGCACTGTGGAATAATTGCATGTGTTCTCAATGCAAATTTTGGGACCAATAATCCTTAGAAATAAGAATATCTTTGTTTTTCTTGTGAATTATTATGACAAAATGTCCTGCTGTTGGAAAATAACCAAGTCCTTTGCTTTCTTCTTATTTTCTATTTTTCATACATTTCAATTAGTAAAATGAATTTTTATTTGAGCTTGTTTTGGATAAGCCAGAATATAGAGAAAAGGCAAAATATGAAAACTCTGTGGTTAACTGCATGAGGCAATTGTGTTTAACTATGATAATATCAAAATGCATAAAGATTTGCTATAAATAAAAAAGTGAACATAGCTCAAAGCATTTTTAAATAATCTATCTAATTTTATCAAAGATAATAGGAACTCTATTTTCTTTTTCAAATACATCTCAGTTGAATTAAAACTCTTTGGAAGCAGGGAGCATCTAATACCAGTGTATAGCTCAGTAGAAATTGATATAAGATAATCAGAATTTGTGACCTCTGAAGGATACTTATTCTCTCTAGGCCTAAAATCCTCAACTATAAGACAAAGATAATAATATCTACTTTGTGAGGCTATAATATGTATTAAAGAGCTGAGCATCTGATTCATGATAAGCTTTCAATAAGTATTAGATTTATTTGTATTTTTTAGCTCTGGCTTTGTATAGAATGCTTTCTGAATAAAATGAAATATATTATATGTGAAATTGGTCTTCTGTATATAAAGATAATCGAAAATGAATCTTGATGTGAAGGGAAGGGGAGAGGGAGTGGGAGAGGGGAGCACTGTGGGTGGGAGGGAAGTTATGGTGGGGGGAGCTATTGTAATCCATAAGCTGTAATTTGTAAATTTATGTTCATTAAATAAAAAAAGAAATATATTATGTCCACACTAAGAAATCTTTATTACTATATATTCTTCTGCAATTTACATTGCTTCTAATTTCACATTTGAAATTAACCTAAACAACTCTTCATTTCTAAAATATGGAAAATTTGTGTATTATTACAGCTTATTTAGGTGGACAAAATGTCCCACTTTATATCAGTATAGTTTGGTCAGGAAAATAAAGGCAACATCCACATTATAGGAAAAATAGATGACATAGAAATTGAGGTTACGTAAATATGAGTGGATGCAGCAGTGAAGATTTGGACTGTCTCTCTACGGAGAAGGGAAAAGTCATGTATTCCTGGACAATTTAAGAAACGGATACAGGTCATTAGGCAGCATTTAGAAGACATGGTGAAGATGGCGGCAGTTTCTGGGCTGGTGGTAAGATCCTCTTTAGCAGGTATTTGGGCTGCTGGAAAGGCAATTTCACCAGACTGTGTTGGTGACACTGCAGGTAGCAGTTCATGATGCTAGAAATCAAGCTATGGATAAGGAGCTGGAAAGAGATGAGAAGGTATTTTTGCGAGGGGAAGAAGTTGCCCAGTATGATGGGACATATAAGTTAGTCAAGGCCTCTGGAAGAAATATAGAGATGAGAGGATCATAGACACTCCTTTATCTGAGATGGACATTGCTGAAATCACTGAGGGTGCAGCTATGGCGTGTTGCAGGCTATTTTTGAATTTGTGACCTTCAATTTCTCTATGCAAGCCATTAACCAGGTTATGAACTCACACGCCAAGACCTACTACATGCTGGCAGGCCTTCAGTCTGTGTGGATAGACTTCCAGGGACCCAGTGGTGCCTCTGTACGTGTAGCTGCCCAATACTCACAATGCTTTGCTGGAAGTTATGGGTATTACCCAGGATTAAAGGATTGTAGCACCTGGAACTTAGATGATGCAAAAGGGCATATAAAATCAGCCAGGTGATGCTAGAGAAAAAACTGATGTATGGAGTCCCCATTGAATTGTATGCCAAAGCTCAATCAAATGATTTTCTGATTTCTGTGGAAAAGGTCAAAGCATGAAGACAAGGGACACATATAACCCTGGTTGCCCCCTTCAAGAATTGTGGAGCACTGCTTAGAAGATGCAACAGTGCTTTCTAAAGAAGGAGTTGAATGTGAGGTAATAAATCTGCATCCCATCAAACCAATGAACATTGAAACCATGCAAGTCAGCATCATGAATACAAATCATTTGGTAATGGTGGAAGGAGGCTGGCCACAGTTTGGAGTAGAAGCTGAAGTTTGTGGCCAGTGCTGCGACTCACTTGGCTAATCCTCTGCCCACGGAGCTGGCACCCTGGGTTCTAGTCCCGGTTGGGGTGCCGGGTTCTGTACTGGTTGCTCCTCTTCCAATCCAGCTCTCTGCTGTGGCTGGGAGGGTAGTGGAGGATGGCCCAAGTCCTTGGGCCCTGCACCGACATAGGGGACCAGGAGGAAGCACCTGGCTCCTGGCTTCGGATCTGCGCAGCGCGCTGGCCGTGGCGGCCATTTGGTGGGTGAACTAATGGAAGGAAGACCTTTCTCTCTGTCTCTCACTGTCTAACTCTGCCTGTCAAAAAAAAAAGGAGCTGAAGCTTGTGCCAAGATCATGAAAGTCTCTGCATTCAATTTCCTAGATGCACCTGCTGTTCATGTCACTGGTGCTGATGTCCTTATCCCTTATGTAAAGATTATAGAAGACAATTCTATACCTCAAGTCAAAGATATCATATTAGTAATAAAGAAAACTAAATAATTAGGACAAGATTATCAAGCCATTAAAACTTCTTTAAAATACCTGGTAGTACTTTACTTGGATCGTACTGCAAGACCTCACTATTCATAAAATAATTCCTACAGCAACAACATGTGTTTTGTACTGGAAGAAGTTTAAACATGTCTGCATGTGGAAAATTCTCTACTCTCCTGCCCTAGACTCCTGCTTGCTTTTGCCTGTTACACTTGCCTTGTTTTTTGAATAAATAGAAAATTTTACCCTTTCTCACTAGGACAGATATGGATGTGGCAGTCTTAAAGATTTATCCTATATATATATATAAAATTTTTATATATTAAATAAGTCTATAATCTATACATTTAATGTAGATTGTTTTGATAAGGAATAAACAAATTCCAACCTATGGGGGCAAAAAAAGAAACTGATACAACCCAGGAACTGGGCGTTGTGAAAAGATCTGGACACCACCTCCTCTACCACGATCTCAAGGAAACATGGCCTGGAAAGTCCAAGAAAGTGGCAGAGCCACTCTGTGGAAGCTTGCGGAGAGGTCAATAAACCAGCTGCATCCAAAGATTGGGACCTTCACAGGGTATCAGCCTCCACTTCACCCGCAGCTTTTAAATCTCACTGAAGTGCCTCTCATTGGCAAGTTCTTTTTGCTTTCTTTTTATTTTTTTTAAAGATTGATTTATTTATTTGAAAGTCAGAGTTGCACAGAGAGAGGAGAGGCAGAGAGAGAGAGAGAGAGAGAGAGAGAGAGAGAGAGGTCTTCTATCTGCTGGTTCACTCTCCAGATGGCCGCAATTTCTGGAACTGTGCCAATCTGAAGCCAGGAGCCAGGAGCTTCTTCTGGGTCTCCCACATGGATGCAGGGGCCCAAGGACTTGGGCCATCTTCTACTGCTTTCCCAGGCCATAGCAGAGAGCTGGATTAGAAGAGAAGCATCTGGGTCTCAAACCGGCACCCATATGGGATGCTGGTACTTCAGGCCAGGGTATTAACCTGCTGCACCACAGCACCAGCCCCAACCCCAACAAGTTATTTTTTGTTTAAGATTTTATTTAGTTATTTATTTGAGATGCAGAGTTACAGATAGAGAGCGGGAAAGACAGAGAGACAGGCCTCCCATCCCCTGGTGTATTCCCCAAATTGCCGCAACAACTGGAGCTGAGCCGATCTGAAGCCAGCAGGAAGGAGCATCTTCCAGGTCCCCCACATAAGTGCAGTGGCCCAAGCATTTGGGCCATTTCCACTGTGCTCCCAGGTCATAAGCAGAAAGCTGGGTCAGAAAAGGAGCATCCAAGACACAAGCCAGTGCTGATATGGGATGCCAGCACTGCAGGTTAGAGGTTTAGCCTCCTATGCCACAGTGCCAGACCTCATTGGCAAATTCTAACCCAGCACCACACAGAGAAGTGTGTGTGGGTAAAGGGAAATATGATCTTCAGCCTCAGAAGAGGATGATGATGGTGGTGGTGCCACATTGAAAACAATCAACCCAGGGCCGGCACCGTGGCGCAGCGGGTAAACACCCTGGCCTGAAGCGCCAGCATCCCATATGGTGCCAGTTCGAGACCCAGCTGCTCCACTTCAGATTCAGCTCTCTGTTGTGGCCTGGGAAAGCAGTAGAAGATGGTCCAAGTCCTTGGGCCCCTGCACCCATGTGGGAGACCTGGAAGAAGCTGCTGGATCCTCGCTTCAGATTGGCTCAGCTCCAGGCATTGCAGCCAATTGAAGAATAAATCATCAGATGGAAGACCTCTCTCTCTCTCTCTCTCTCTCTCTCTCTCTCTCTCTCTTTCTCTCTCTGCCTCTCCTTTATCTGTGTAAAATAAATATAAAAGAAAATCAACCCAGCACTTCCCATATAACATCCTTATTAATTCAGTAACTAGCGTATTGCTATAAACATTTTTAAGAGAATGAAAAAATCACACTTCCACCTAAACTAAAGCAATTTTCTTCATACACCTTAGGATATTCTATCATCTCTTCCCAAAAGGAAATAGATTTTAAAAAAACTTAAAACACTCTTCATTCCTTAAAACACAATGCAAGATATGTCTGTTGTCAAGAGGCAATATGATATAAGAACCTCAGTGTCAGAGGGACCTAGATTCCAATTCTAGCTATACTACTTGACTGTTGTGTGATTCCCAGGAAATAATATTTCTCTGAACTTTAGTTCATCCTACAGAAAAATGGGGAAACCCATCTTCTAAGATTACTATAAGGATTAATAATATCTGTGAAATTCAGTTCATAGTAAATGCTCAGTAAACACCAGTGTTAAAATCTGTTTTAAATGGCATGGACCAGTTAACGACTCTTGCTGATAAATTTTTCTCATGCTCACCAGCATATTAAATTACTTTGAAAAGCAATTGTTCATATATTTTCTTTTTTTAGATTTATTTATTTGAAAGAGTTACTCAGAGAGAGAAGGAAAGGCAGAGAGACAGAGAGAGAGGTCTTCCATCTGCTGGTTCACCCCCCAATTGGTCGCAACGGTCAGAACTGTGCCAATCTGAAGCCAGGAGCCAGGAGCCAGGAGCCTCCTGCAGGTCTCCCACATGGGTACAGGGGCCCACGGACTCAGGCCATCCTCCACTGCCTTCCCAGGCCATAGCAGAGAG